TTAAGGTGTAAGGGAAGGGGGTGGGGGGGTGTTAGGGTGTAAAGAAATGAGGGAGTTAGGGCGCAGAGGAAGGAGGTGTTGAGGTAGGGATAAGATGAATGGGTGTGTTAGGCTGTAGGAGAAAGGAGTTGATAGGGTGCAAGGGAAGGGGTAGTTGGGTGCAAGAGCAGAGGGGGGGGTAGAGACAGCTGCAAGACGTGACTCCACACACTAGTAATAACACACGATTTAGCAAAGACACAAGAGAAATTGGTCGACTGTATGGTCACCCTAGAAAAATAGGTGCGGGGGGGGGGGGTCAGGGGGAGTTGGCAGGAGGAGGGAGTGAAAGGAGGGAAGGAGAGTTGAAGACGGAGTTGATGGATGGGACACTTGACAAGAGACAAGCAACAGCAAGGAGGTGCATGTCTATTCAACTTGAACTCGATAGCATTAATGGACTCGCTTCCGCTCCTATCTCGGTGGATTTATTTTCGACTCGGCTCCTTTGTGGGTTCGTCTGGGGCCAGCTCGGGCGAAGGCTGCGATAGGCTGCGGAAGGAGGGCTAGGGGCTAGGGCTAGGGGCTAGGGCAAGGGGCTAGGGGCAAGGGCTGGAGCTAGGGATGAGACTAGGACCTGGGGGTAGGCGGTGTGGCTAGGGGCTGGAGCTATTGGCTAGGGATAGGGACATGGGTTAGTGCAGGGCTAGGAATGAGGCTAAAGGCTAGGGCTATGGGCTGGGGCTAGGGAATAGGTCTAACCCCCCCCCCCCCCCGCCTCACGCATCCCGGCGCCACGAAGAGGAAGCCCGTCATTTGTCAAACGGACTCCTTCAAGGGTAGGGGGAGGGAGAAAAGGCCTTCTTCTCCCTCCCTCGCCCTTCCTTCCCTCTCCAACAACAGCGTGTCTATCATAATCACAGGCCTGCGAGATCATTAGCACGTTTCTGTGTGTAAATGTACCATAGGCCTATTTTCACTCTGCAAACCGTCTGTTGTTCGTTCTGTCACGTGACGAGATTGTAATCCGCGGGCGCCGACGACGTCACCGATCACGCACGGAACATTTGTAAACCTAGTCATCACGCATAAGCCGCCGCCCATTTAATTCAATAGGTCCTGCGTCCCCGGGCCCTCGAAGCGTCGCGAGGCCAAGGGGGTGTGGGAGCGACGCGCCACCGTATGGGTAAACGGGATTGCCGATGTCGCGCGGCCATTAATCCCCTTGTCGGGCGATTCCGCTGGGGGTTATTTATGGCGTGGCGCCGCTTCGTTCGAGGGGCGGCGGGCGAGGGGTTGGGGATGGGCGGTGAGCGAGGGGTTGGAGATGGGCGGTGGGCGGCGGGAGAGGGGTTGGGGATGGGCGGTGGGCGGCGGGAGAGGGGTTGGGGATGGGCGGTGGGCGTCGGATGGGCGGTGGGCGGCTGGTGGGCATTATAGTGGGTGCTGGCGAGGATTATGTGTTGATAGAAGGAGGACTTGCTGGCCGCTCTTGATGGAGTTTGGCTGAAAAACGGGTTTCTTCTCTCTTGCGTTTTTCTCGTTTTCCTTTCCTTTCTGTTTTTCCTATCTCTTTATCGTCGTTTTCTACTATTTCCTTTCTATTCCGTTCACTCTTCCATTCGCTCAGGCGGGCACAAAGAGGGCAAAAGAATTTCAGTTCAGAGCATCTCCTCTCCCCCCTCGAACTTCTTTGTGTTCTTATCTGTATCTGTATTCTCTCTCCTTATCTACCCACTTTTTTTTCTCTCTCTCTCCCTCTCTCTCTCTCTCTCTCTCTCTCTCTCTCTCTCTCTCTCTCTCTCTCTCTCTCTCTCTCTCTCTCTCTCTCTCTCTCTCTCTCTCTCTCTCTCTCTCTTTCTCTCTCTTTTCTGCAATCTCCCTTTGTGAATACGCGTACGTGTTTCTCTTTGTTTACGTCTCCATCTATCCACCTGTTAAATCGATCGATCTGTCTCCATATCTATCCACCAATCTATGTCCGCCAATCTATCGATCTCTTTTCCTTTTGACTCTGAGTGTCGAAACTCGTTTATTATCAGAATTCTTATTTTTGTTTTGGGAATACAGTCACGTATTTAAAGGTGAATCTGCACGATCAAAGGACCGGCGATTACTCCATACGACATAGTTTAAAGTGATTTAATCCTCCTTACAGGATCGAAAGCGATTAAGTACTCTCTTATTTATAGAAACAGACACACATCATCTATTCATTAGAAAGAGAGTGCTAATGCTCCGCCCAAATTATATTTGATGACTGCCATTAGTCCGGACTCGCTGTCATAGAGGTAACGGATGTGTGATTTAGAAAGTTTATCGCTTACCGGTGCAGGAACGCGACTGAATTAAATAAGTAGAGGGAGACGGAGGGGATCAGGCGGGGGGGGGGGGGGAGAAGAGGAAGAGAGAGAGAGAGAGAGAGAAACATAAAGATATGGAAATCGAGTCCGATAATGATAAAAAAGAGAGCGAGGTGACATGCAAAGAAAGCATTTTTCCTCATCGATGCATAGGAATGGCCGACATAAAAAAAGAGAAAAAGGCTAAACAAAAATATCCA